GCGTGAGGCCTCAGGTACACACTAAGCATTTTTGGAAAGATCGAAGGGTCAAACTTCCCGAAGGCTCTACGAAGAAGGCCGATGTACTGGTTTGCTTTCTTAGCTGCCTTTTCAGTCTGCCTCGAACAACCGAGGTCATCTTGAACTGTCACGCCGAGATCGCACTCGTGAGAAGTCCGCTGTAGAATTTGTGGTCCTAGGCGGTAGTTGTGCATACTCTTGTGCCGTATACTGAGAACTTTGCACTTGTTGACGTTGAAATGCAGCATGTTCTCGATGGACCATATGTACGCTTTGTCCAGGTCCTCCTGTAACTCTGTGTGATCCTCCACTGCAGCTATAGTGCGCCATACCTTTAGGTCATCAGCAAATAGCAAATAGTTAGAAGATAGCACACTCGCGAGATCATTTATGAAGACCAGGAACAGGCGGGGTCCAAGTACCGATCCTTGAGGTACGCCGCACTGAACTTCGATGGATTCTGATAGGTTGCTTCTAACCCTCACATTCAGGTGACATTGCACGAGAAAGTCTCCTATCCAGCCCAGAACAGGATGGCCGATTCCATATTTCTAGAGTTTGTGGAGGAGAATGCGATGGTCTATGCGGTCGAATGCCTTTGAGAAATCCAAGTAGGCCGCGTCGACTCCTGCACCAGCGTCCACAGATTCCGTCCAATTTGCATGAGCAATCAGCAGGGGATTCGTTGTACAGGAGTGATTTTGGCGAAATCCATGCTGTTCCGGAACGAGAATTTGGTTGTTCTCCAGGTACCCCACTAAAGCCTCAGATACGATGGACTCCATAACCTTGGAGATCACAGGAAGTAGTGTAATCGGGCGATATATTGCTGGTTCAGCACGGTTACCACTTTTGTAGATAGGCGTGATGATTCCGTGCTTCCACACCGTGGGGACGTGCAACTTTCAACGTCCTCGGACGAATGCCGTCCGCACCCGGGGAGCTGAACTCGCGCAGAGACATCAGCCTCTTCAGTACAGCTGCGGAGGTGGACGAAATATGATTAAGCCCTGATGGCGGCATTATCTGCTTAGGCAGGATGTATGATGATTGCGCGCTTTGGAAGGTACGGCCAAATTGTTGTCTAAGGACGTTGGCTGCCTCTTGTGCGGTTTGGGCTAACCCGCATGCTGTGTGCAGAGCAGGAATATCGCGCTTAACACGGTGCAAATTGTTTACATGTCTGTATAGCAGTTTGGGATTGGATCAAAACTTTTCCACTAGACCTTGCTGGTTCTTAAGTTTATCCTCCCGGAGGAGTTTGACACAGTGGTTCCCTTGTATTGTGTAGACCTCCCAGGTATGGCCGTTCGGGGAGGCTAAATAGGTATGTCATGCCAAGTCCCTTAATGCCATGCACTTACGTGTCCTGCTCCCTACGAAAGACTTCATCCTTCTAGGTCGATAGAGTTTGGTTTCAGATGTCCTTGTCACGAGCTTGGTAAATATGTTGACGGATTCACCGCAGGCCACCTCGGGGGTTAATTCAGCTAAGAACGACCAGCTTGTTGCATCAATGAGGTCGGACAGGTCTTCCTAGTTGGTAACGACACGATATTGCTCGGTATGCTCTTTAGGATAATCCGCGTAGCACATATAATGAAACAATAGTGTCGCACGATCACTGCGGCCCAAAGGAGTATCAGTTATCACTCTCTCGACCATTAATTCCTCATTGGTGAATATTCGGTTCAAAATGGATGGCCTGTCAGTTCCCCTGAATCTGGTGGGCGTAGTGATGTGGCCATAAAGAGGGTAGTCTGAAAGCAGATCTAGCAAATCTGCTTTGAATTGTTCTCCTAGTGTGGCCTGAGATTCGAGGGCATGTAAATTGAAGTCACCGGTGACTTGAATGTGACTGTACTTGCTCTTTATCACTTGCCTCAACGCAGCCATCAAACTGCAGTCCATCTCAGGAGTAGACGGTGGTGGGCGGTAAACAACAACCAATAGGCCAATATCGTTCCCTCTTAGCCGGAAATTACACCAGATGGCGTCAGATACGTCAGTTTCCGAATCGTTTACGCGTTCGCATTGCATGTTGTTACTAAAGTAAAGGGACACCCCACCACCTTGGCTGGTTTGAGCCTTCCGGACAACGGACATGCTCGTTAGTGCAATTTCAGCATCGGTTATCTCTCAGCGCAACCACGTTTCGGTGACAGCGATGAGGTCCCAAGCTGCAGACGCGTGTCGAAGTCTTAGTTCAGCTAATTTGCTGAGTAGACCTTGGGCATTTGTGTACATGCATGAGAGCTTCTCGGAGACCAAGTGTGTTAGATTGGATGGATGAAGCAAATGAGTTTACGCTGGCCATTAAAGGGTCGTTGACTAATCGTTTTTTATACGGGTTGCATACTCTCGAAAAGTATTTGATATATTAGCCCAGATAAGAAACGGCAATGGTACTGGTGCGAACGGTATCCCGCCTGAAGTGTTAAAGCAAGGTGGACCAGCTTCGATGCACGTGCTTCACCAATTGGTCCAACGCGCATTGATTGACGAGGAAGTGGCGACTGACCTGAAGCATGCCCTTTTGCAACCACTCTACACGGGAAAGGGGAACAAGCGATGCTGCACGAATTATCACGATATCAAGGTGTCGAACTGTGTTACTAACTCGATCGAACGGGTCCTGCTCAACTGCCTTGTCACTCAGGTCGTTGAACCGAAAGTGGCAGAAGAGCAATGCAGATTCCATTCGGATCGCAGCGCCATAGTGTGGTGTTCGCGGCTCGTCAGCTACAACAATAATACCGAGAGCTACATCAGCCATTGTACTCGCTATTTGTAGACATAACCATGGTATCTGACAAGGTGAACCGTGATATTTGGATAATTTGACTGATGAAGTAAGTTAGTAAGTTTAATAGAATGCCGGCACATTGACATGCGGGCGAGAGTGCAGCTCACTAGAAAAACATCAGATGACTTTGATATTGTCCCTGGTGTGAATGAAGGCTGCGTCTGAGGTTCTGCCCTGTTTACTATGTCCTTTCGTGCACTGTTGTCTTGTGCGTTTGATGATGCTTGTGATTACGGCGTCCCTTTGCAGCTTCGCATTGATGTTGTTTTGCTGACCATCCGTGGTTTCAGGGCGCGAAACCTAGTGTGCGGGACAACCACCCGTAGTTACTGTTTCCAGATGACTGCGCGTTGTTTGCACACAGCGCGGATGAGTTGCAACACATTACTTCGGTTCTCGCTTCGACAGCGACCAGATTCGGTCTCCTCGAACGAACCGTGCCTGAAGGGCAGTGCGGATTCCTTTCCGGCCGCAGCATGACATATATGATGTTCGTGGTTCTATAGTTGCAGAAGTGCTGTGAAGAAAACTAGCCATTTTGTTCGCTATTTCGTAAAATTCACAAGGCATTTGTTACGGGGAACCACATCATTAACTTCCTTATACAAGTTATCTGCAGGTGGAAAACACCTCAGCTATTGTGCCGCAATAATAAAGACAAGAGGAAAAAAATACAACAGTGGCACGCTGGATGAGTCCTCAGTAACGGATGGACATCGTTCCGGAGAGCTAACAGCCGGTTATTATGCAGCAAAATGAGTTATATTATGCCTAGCGAATGAGATCGTGATTGGAGGTGAGGGTAAGCAGAAGGGGGATGGACAACGAAACTCACAATACAAACGCCACTGGGGCCGACTCCTAGCCATATCAGCAAGTGTGTCCAACCAAACGTGTTCATCGTCCTTAGGACCCCAGCCAGGCAGTCGGAATGTACCAGCCGACGCCTACTTCGAAGTGAGGGTTTTCATATCTCTCGCTTGGCCTCCCCTCCTCCTCTTCCAACCGTGCCCACAACGCGCAATCAATGCACCCCGCGGGAGTCGGTGTGCACAGCCATCGGAGCCTGGAACGTAATATTATGGTGCTGAGTGCTTCACTCGCTCTTACTACACAACCAAAAACACGAGGTCGAACACGCTCATTGCTCACGCGATGCTCCCACTAGACATGAGCTAAGCTACGAAGGCAACGATGATCGAATATGACGGCGAACCACAGAACACTGGCTGGTGTAAGATAAGTTTGGTTGTTCAGGTATATTTTTATTCCTATTAAATGTCTACACAATGTTATGCGGATGAAGATGCAGCTGTGAGGATGAAACTCGGATGACTTTTAACCTGACCCTAGTGTGTTAGCCCTGTCATGTTTAACAGTTACCTATTTGCCATGATGTTCAATACTTTCGAAGCTCGCGATTACGGTGTCCGTATCCAGCACCGTAGTGAGCGGGACAGGCAGCTTGGTGAATACATGAAGTCCCACACAGGTTAAATGTGGCACTCGGATTTTCGGGGGCTATTTATTTCTCCATTTACCAAAGTCTATCTTAGTAATCAACAGGATTTTTAAAGTGTTTCCGTCATTGATAGATATAAGCCATTGTTTCAACATGGAATATTATGCGAAGCCGTGCATACCTTCACTTGACTTTTCGCTGATAATCCAGTCTGAATACTCCTACAGAAATATCTTGAAACAGTAAAAAGTCGTCAACATGTGCCGTTTACTGTATCTAATTTTCAGTTAGTATTCCCTAACACATTAGTAAAAGCAGTACGTGCACTTATAAGTATAACTGTTTATCAAAATGAATAAATTAAAGAGTAAGTCATTCTTACACCACTCATCTGAAATTGGTCGGGACCGAAGGGAACATTGTGCAGATTCCGTTCGTAAAATCGAAAAACATAGTATTTCACTCCAGATTGCACGTGAAAGGTTGACTGGGCACTCTAGAATATCATGCTGCCATGTGCTGCGAATCAATGCGACGGACCAATTAACTATACGTGTACACTGTACAGCTACAAGCGCGCTGAGCCCAATGGGAATTTCGATTTTGCTGATCTTGTATTTGCCGAACTCGCGGATGCACAACCTCGGTGCGAACATACCCACAAGTGCATGTGCATCTTACCATATTTACATGCGCCGCTGACACCGGTGCACATAGCGGATGCCATAAACTCGGACAAACAAACGATGCATGCTAGCTGTAGTTAGAGCTTCGTGGATAGTAAAGGTATATGGTGAAGAATCCGAATTACGAGACGACAACCTCTTAGTCTCCAAAATGTAAAAAAGCTAATCAAACGAAAAATCAAGGTGGAAAATTGGGAGGCCAAACTTACATCCAATACCTCACATTATTCAGGTGAACACTGACACTATGGCATCATCCTCATTCGGTCAGCGTCGCAGCTTACTCACTGCACAGGGAATAGCACCTCAAAATAATCTTTCTTCAATAAGTGACCCACCAACAGTCGAAGGAAAGCGCATTGTCGCGGCAAAGATTGCGGGCTCTGTGGGAACTGGGGCCGCACCGACCAAAGTGATTAACGCGTTTATGCAAGTGAAAGACTACACAGGCCTCGACCGGTACCTATGTAAACACCAAATACCGACAGATATCCTGAACTCTGCTCTTCAAAAGGCATGCATGACTTCGGACCAGGAAGCAGTGGAGATAATTTGTATGCACGGTGCAAATGCTAATTTTGTTGATCAGTTTGGAACCACACTGCTACACTTCGCAATGCGAGGTGGGGGGGATGAAGGAGTTATCAAGGCATTAATCTCTCATGGGTTGGAATATACGGACTGGAGATCCGAAGGAATGCCGCTGCTTCATTGGGCATGCAGTAATGGGATGACGCGATTAGTGGAGTAAGTTCTGAATGCACATTTTTGGGTTGCTAATCGATACTGAAAGCGCAAGGCAAAATATATCGTGTTATCAGTAACCTACGTCAGTTAGATGTACGGGCTATTTAGTTTCGGTCCCTATCTGGTATACTGTAAACAATAAAAAGACTGATGTCAGAGGTCTGGCTAGAAAATATTAGTAGGTTTCGTTTGCAATTGATTGGCGCAGAAAATGGAAGTTCACACACAGCTGCACGACAAAACACGCTTAATATATAGTGTACCATAAACCTTGTGGATTAATGATGATTAAGATCTAAGGAGGAAAATCACAGTAATTATAACATGACATAAACTTAGGCTCCAGAGTAGTTTGTGCGTTTGTCCCTCAAAGAACATGGTTTCCATGAATCTATTCCCCACTATGTTGTAATTTCCCGCGCTTTCTACAGCAATGTCCCCAGCGAAGCTAAGCACCGTAAACGTAAAAATGCCTGTAAAGCTAATTCTCCCAAACGTTTGTCATGGATATTGGTATATCTATGTTAGCACGACTGAGCACTTGCCATAACGCTGTAGCCTCTTGCCTATAGAAAGCAAACAGCTGAGAGACATTGGTAAATTATGAGGCAGGCTAGGCGACACTCGACCCGCAGCTTGGTTATCTTCAAGTCAAGGTTCGATAGAAAGCTTCTGAATAGGCACATTTTTAGCTATGCTAGTGTAGTGAAGCAGCTGAAAATTTGTAGTACATAGTGCAACTTCAAACAGAAAAGGGATCCGTTTTGTGCTAAAGGGATTACAAGGTTAAAATTGATTTGTATTTCCAGATAAAAATGCTGTTGTGTATTGCTTGATTTCCGTTACTCCCCAGTCATTTAGAGTCATAAGGATAACGGAACCCTTTAGGCTAGCTGTTGTTGAAATCGCCTTCTTTCCATAATTGACAACTTATATCACATTGTATGTAAACGTTTAGCGATTACCTACGAATAATAAAGTATGCAAAACAAAGAAATAACTCCATTTAATCGGTATCCGCGTGCATTATGTATGCTCTATGCGGAATGAATACCATATAAAGAGGAGTGCAGATCCCGAATGAACGAAGGCAAAATGAAACCCTTGGTGTGACGGAAGAGTTGTCTGTATAGATAGCACCAGTTACGAAGATAGGACCGGATAGTTGTTTGTACTTTTTGGATCATTAGGGAAGACGATCAAAGAAACTGACGAACTAAGAGCACCTAATTCATAAATCTTGCACTGAATCAGAGGTTGGCATTACGACACTGGCAAGTGGGATTGAGGATCCTGGGTTGTAGCATTTGTGACCGTGTATGTATGATTTTCTTTCAGTTCCTTGAACCGGCTATCACGAAATCCATCAAGTGTCGATAGGTCTATACATATGTATTACAGACCTATCTGTTATTAGTCTAGAAAATTGGACTAGACTAAGCTGACCTCATATGAAGTCATAAATAACCGTCTGTGGAACAGAAAGCCAGCGGACCGAGAACACCTCTATAAGGCATCACAAAATTACTGCGGATCCATTCTGACTCTTTGGATTCGGTAGAGTAAACTTGAATCGAACAAGCTTAATAATAGGCTTTCAATTCTATTCGATCCTAGCACAGCTAACAGTGGCTTGTTTGACATGTGATCGAAAGTATTTTGCATGTTCAAGTGAAAGATGGCGGCCACCACTTTTCTGCAAAACTTGAACGTTATATGATGAAAGAATTACAGCTGCCAGGTTGTAAAAGATGATGATCCCATGAGTGCGATGGTGGTACGCGCCTCTCTCAGGGTGTAATGAACATTAACATAGCGACACAACCGTTTTACCTAAATGCAACTGAGACACATGAGTGTCAGGGACATCTGGAAGGTAACCTTAAAACTGATTGACTCGCAAATATGGGAAATATGGCGTCTTGGTGTGATCGTCTAACGTTAGCGTCTCGAGTTATTGATGTGGTTTAGGGTTTATTCCTCCAAATAGATGTATCAGGCTTCCTGTGTTTTCAGGTTTTCTAAGTACACTACTTTCTTCTGCGATTTAGCCTTTCAGACTAAGTGTGGATGCTATACTATGGTCACATATGCCCCCTAACAATGTAGCGGAACTGTTGGTCATGAGATACCTTGCTTTAAGTTTCGTCAGTTTGGCTGTAGTTTTATTGAAGGACACGCATTGACCACAATTCTTGTAGGTATTGTTTTATACGACGGTTAACAGTACACTCACAGGTCACGATTTTGTGGACAAATTCATTGATAGCTATGGATGAGTTACTGGTTGAGAACGGCTGGTCTCAGTCCATAGTACTGATAAGTTCATGAATTGAATTCAGATCAAATCGAGGATGGTTGCAAACAGGTATCAACATTTGACTTGATGGCTTCTCCTATTTGAAGGCATCGAGTTGTGGTCGCAACAGTGTGATGCATTAGTAACGGATACGTAAGCGGAATGGACCTCCTTGGTGACTACCAGACCCAGCGTGTTGGATACAGTAGAGTAAATTATTTCGTTAAGCCCAGTATTCGCCATAGCTATATGAAAAATTCAGTTAACAAGTGGCAGGTTGAAATCTTCACACATAAGTTATGGCCTGTAGATAGTGCTGGAAGCAGTGTTGATCGCATCCATTACATGTTGGGTTTCACAGTAGGTGGTTCGGAGCGGCCGAGGGATACAACCCACTAGAGGACCAACACATATGATCATTAGCCATGGTGGATCTGTCAGATGCTCGAGAGCAACTTGATGAACGGTAATCGCGGCAAGACAAAAACGAAGGTATACGGTACAGACACAACCGTAACGACTTTTGAGCAACAAGCATCAGCTTAATAACATTAAACTGCAACCAGTAGTTCGTACGATACCCCACGTTTCAGTACTAGAATCAATAGCGGGGTAATTATAGATCTATATTTTGAATGGGAACGCGTTTTGTGTAAATGTGTGTGGATAGCATTAATGACGGATTGGAATGGACGGCGTGGATTACCTAAGATTATTCGCCCCTGTTTCTAAAGGTTGTGTCATGAGTCAGTCGGGTCCCACAGGATGCTTATGCATCCTGTTTGTTAGAATGGGGTGGACGCAAGGATACTTGGTTACTCCTTGAATCGTCAGCACACCAGTTGGGGAGGTAGGGATAACAACGGCTTAAAGAAGTAGTATCCATTCGAAGTGTACAGCAATGGATGGATATGGAAGTCTTCATTTTATACTGCTAGCACTCCGGTATTAAGGAGTAAAAATGGGTTAAGAATGGACGTGGATGAAGGCTGTTCCTCTACGCCTGGTAGTGCGTAAGATCTACTTCCATTCTGCTTCTTATTGCAACATCGCATAGATCAGCTTTCCTCCAAATTGAAGCTGCTGAAGTTGGAACATAGTGGATAGATAGTGGGGCGAATATTTACTTCTTATACCGATGAACGCCTAAGTGCTTCACATCGGATTACTTAATTTCCTATGTTTACATCTCTGCCACAACAACTCCGGAGTTGTTGTATTGAATTTTCAGTTTATTTCGATGCATTCGCCTACTTCATACCAGACATTGATAGACTGTCACTTTTTGGGTTCACCTCTGTCATTAATGACCATATATGATGGTTCCTGTTATACATTACAGATTCAGTTGCTGCCACATTCTTTTTAGATTTGCAATAGACAAAAGAGACATAGGAGGTAGAGCTGTGATTCGAAAGCGTGTTGATGATAGGAAATTTACAGCCTGTCGAGTAGGGTTGTAGTCCGGTTTGTCACTACTGTTGTGTGCCAAGATCTCAGAAGTTCGGTAGGGACTGAGAGACAAAGCACTGGTTGGAATAACGCTGTCATCTCTTCAAGATCTGCAGCAATAAAGTCTGCCCGTTGCCGGATTGACTGGTAGGGGCCTTGAGACCTGGAGGGGCCAAGTGGTTATCGATTTTTGGATACGTTGCCTTTAGAACAATGGTACAATATTATATTACGGATAAAAAGCGAATGCTTAACAAGTCCCGTGAGATGGCCAGGGTGAGAAGCACAATCTGGTGAAAAGAAAACAAAATGCTAAAATGAAAATCGTTCTCGTGGACTCACCACAGTGTTCACACAGGGGCGAGAAGCAAGGAGCAAACCACAATTATGTAGGTTATTACAGGTTGCGCGCCGTTTGTCACATTATATCGTTTGTCGATGTACATCTAGAAGTGTAAGTGGGTTAAAGCCACGTCAAGGCGTATTTTAAACACAGATACAGTGGTGGTGGAAACAACGTAATTTTGGATGGCGTTCCATGGCTGGCACACACAAAAGAGTAAACCTTTCGACGACATTTTAGGCGACTGTATTGCGGGGCTAACTTGAGCTGGTGACCCCTCATATTCTTGTTGTGATTGAGTTGCAGTATGTGTAGGCACACGTGGTTGAGGCTCCTCAAAATCTGGTAGGTCATTGTTAGGTCTCTAGGTAAGCGCCGCTGCTGATAGCTGTGCAGACAAATTCCTCAGTCTAAGTTGATACAGAAGGTGAACCAATACCTTAAAGTGCCTGGAGGTTCTTCACTCTGAAGTTCCTAGCTTTGCGACATCTTGCTTGTGCAAGGACTACCAGACTTAATTTGTTTAGTTCACATGAGGCAGCACGTGTCTGTTAAGCAATTGCGAACAGACAGTGGGGTCAAATCGCATGAAGACCTTCCACAGCAGCCAACGTGTTGGTTTCCTGTCGTTAACACCTCGGATGATTCTGAGCAGCCAAAATCAGCCAGGATGGATACCCTTAAGTCCCGCTCCCTGATGACTGCTTGCAGAACGTCGTCCCCAAGCTTGTATATGATGTTGGGTCATTGACGAACGCGGACCACCTAAAATTTAGACAAAAGTAAATTAGAGTATATCGTTGAGTGACCATTCATACTACCCATCTATGTCCTGCTGAAGTGCATCGTGCTATCCTTGGTCAACGATCGCCCGCCACATCTTAACGTTGTCAGCGAACAGCAAGG